AGTGATTCCGTCCGACTCTCCGTGTTTCTTGATTTCAGTATTAATTTGTTCACATTATCTGCGCGATTTTGCACGGCCCTACGAAGGCAGCCTTTGTAAAAATTAGAAGCTTAGCTCAAAATTTCTTGCGAGAATTGTTTCGTTGATTGCGACTTTTTTTGATAGCCCCTTTTGGGCATTTTTGTGGCCGTGCAATTTCTCTTCAGTAAAGTATTTCCTGCTATTTGACCTGGTTCCCGTAGATCCACCATACAAACACATACATATACACGCAGTTTACTTATATCAAATCATCACCAAAGCAAGTGCGTATCTTGCAGCTGGACCTCTCCAGCACGTATACCTATATTTTTACTAAAGAAAGCAAAGAACAATCAAAATTAACCAAAATTGTGACCGAAAAATTTAGCAGTTTAGAAAGAAAAACTTTTTTTTTTTTTAAAATCAATGGCGGACTTGACTCTTTACAAAGCAGTTTCAAAATCAAGGTCAAAAATCCTTCCATATTCATTTTCATGAGAAGCGAAAGTAATTGGGGAGTGATTCGAACGGTAACAGATATCAACAGTAACTATGTGCTGGTAAAGTTGCAAAGGCTGCTCATTTTAACAAAAAGCTGATGACAGGTTTGACTTTTTGCCAAATGTCTGTACCAATTCATCATCGGAACGAATGAAAGAATTGTAAAAGGCTTGGTGATGCATCACTGATCTTCTGCACGATAGCAAAAAAAGAATAAATAAAAGTAAAGAAAGCAAAAATATTGGTTTTAACATTAATTTAAAATATTAATCACACAATGGAAAATTTTAATTTTAACTTATTTGATGGACTAACTTCGTTGCTTGCTGATGCAGGTGCATAAAGTGAAAGAGGCATGTCGGTGAAGCTCATCGATGCTTCAGCATTGTAGCGTGTGAAATCGAAATGCGGTAACAGCGGTGCAGCTACTCTCTTCATGTAGCTATTTGCAAGTACCGCAAAAACGAACCAATTTCCGAACCAATTGTAGGCACCAACCAAACGATCCACAAAGCTTCGCACATCATAAGTGGGATTATCAAAATGCATAAAAATGCGGGGCATCGTTAAATAGTGCCTGAACTGAATCAACAGTATCAGTCATACAGCGCAGCTTCTGAAAGGTATCTATCTGATACCACCATTGAATAATAATAATGATAATAACAGTAGCAGTAATAATAATGATAATAACAACAATAATAATAAGAATAATCATTGTAATGATAATGATAATGATAGAATTTGATATTTGAGCAAATGGTAACAAGAAAATGTATATATCTAACTTCTATCAAAAGATGCGCATATTAAATTTTTGTTTTTTTTTTTAAAAATAGATAATGTTCCACATGCTGTGAGTATCAAACATATCAGTTCAACTTGTTGCGAGTCTAGAAATTCTTGCCTCTAAAAAGACCATAGCCAAATGCAGGAAATTAAAGCGTCTAACTTCAAAATTTTTTTGCTTCCACTTTAACTAAAGCTCTTTGTAAACTGGAACGAGTCACAAAAACTAGCCTTGCATAACCTTTAGAAATACCGTGACCACTTTCGACATCCGTGGAATGCATCATGACGTGATGAGCTCGAGACAGCTCAGCCAGAGCGTAACCGCTGGCGGTAAAGAGCGAATCGGTCATCACCAAATCCCATGGATAGCTCACAATACGCATGAATTCGTCGCGGTGGTCCGCCAAAACATGCTCGAAACTCTTTGAACCGTAATAAAACGGAAATCTCTAAAGATACGGGCATTAATGTAGACAGTTACATACTTACATGCAAAGTATCACGGCAGAGCCAAAATTGACGAGAAAAAAATGAGGACTAAGGGTTGACAAAAAGATAGAATAAAAATTTAGGTTGGAAAAAACGTCAGGAAGAACAAAAGAGGGCTTTTAGAGATAAACCTTTTCTTTAAAGAAAAAACTTTTAGTGAGAATCAGGTTAGATTTCCTTTTGATATTAACAATACAGTGCCGAACAGGAAGGACAGTATCCACCTCTTCAACACCATTGTCTTGAAGACAATGAATAGCGAATGCGAAGCATGGTCACTGACGAA